CCAAGAAAAATACCAACAAAACGGTGCCTGTGCTGATTCATTCATAAACAGGACTGGGAGCAGGGGCTGGGGCAGATGGAGGGAGCAGTGTGAGTCTGCTCGAGGGTTCGTGGAGCCAGGGAGTGCAGCGGGGCCGGAGGAGGCTCACAGCCCCATGAGAATGGGTTTTATTGCAGAGTTTATTAGTGGATTTTTCAATGCACTGGAAGGAATTGAGCAAGCAGTTAGAAATGTTTTCCAGCCTGGGGAAATTCGTTACAGCTACTGTGTAATAGGGGCCCACCGGAATGACTCAGGAACACCACGCAGCCTTTCCCGGTGAATTCCTGCTTGCTGGTGAAATCTTTACTGGGCCAGCTGGAGTCCTTTCCTAGTTGGATCCTCTGAAATGAGACCAGTTGGGTCACAGGGCACAAGAAAACACAGGTGTGAGTGCCATACTCATGCTGAGTGCAGACGGTGCACCCCTGCAAGCCTGGCACCCTTGTGCCCGTGTTGGTGTCATGTCCTGCTGTTCCACTGCCTGCATATGAACACATGGGCACATGTGCAAGGTCACAGGCATAGGTGATACTCATGCAGACATGCATCTTTCTGCAGGCTTTTGCTGCCATGTGGCCCCCACATGAATGATGCAAACACACACACACACACACAAACACACACACACACACACACACACACGAGTTTCTGTGCTAAGGCACATGGGGCACACGTGTCCCACGCATGCAGCCCTGCCTCGCCCCAGCAGGAGCTGGTGGCCACATGCTTCTTTGAAATGAGCTGTCAGAGCCATTTGGAGTTGATTATTCCCTCATTCCTTGACGTACTTGGCCACGTCGGCAGCACCCGGCTGCGGGGCCAGGGCTGCACCCCGACACACGGACAAAGGAACTGCTGCTGCTTGCTCTGGGAGGTGCAGGGAGAGCTGGACATGAGCACAGCCTGGAGCTCCCCGGCCTTGTCCAGCCATGGTTCTGTGCTGCCCGTCACAGTCAGACTCACAGCAAACAGTGCTGTGCCCTGAGCCAGCCATTCCAACACAGCTCTCTCCTTCTTCCTCCTCCTCTTCTTCCTCCTTGGCTGCCTCTGTATCCCACCTTGCAAATGCTCCTTCTTGTGGTGGTGGTACCTGCTGCTGCCCCAGCTTGGCAGGCAGGAGATGGGGGTGATGGGCACTGTATGGGTCAGGGCCAGGCGCCCACAGTGCCAGGTTGCTGTGTGTGTGTAATGTGGTGGTCAGTGCTGGAAGCCATGCCAGGGAGTGCTGCAGGTCAGGGGGTGGTTGGGGCTGGGCTGAGGCTTCCTCCCTCAGTTTCCTCGAGTGCCAAGTGGAGCTGTATCATATTTGCTGATGTTGAAGGGCTCAGTTGAGAAAGGAGTGTTGAGTGGGAGCTCTCAGCTGAGTGAGAGTTGCTCAAGCACAGCAGAGTGTATAGGCAAATGAGAGCCAGCCTGGCACAGGGACAAGTGATTTGGGCAATGGGCTCTGGTGACCTCCCAGTGCAGGCCTGGGGACAGTGGCTGCATCTCATGGCTGCCCTGTGCATGGTCAGAACGGGGGACAAAGGGCCAGAGGCAGCACTCCCTTCCCTCTGTAACAGCAGGATGGTCAGAGCCTGTGAGAACAGTGGAATCTGCTGAGGGGCTGCAGGCCAGCCTGGGGCTGGGGCAGGGAGACATCAGTCCCTGAGCCTGCAGCTCCAGTGGAGTGGGGAGTGCTGCAGAACACATCCCAGCCATAGCTGCTGGGAAACTGAGCCTGGCCTAGGCTGAGTGTCTGACTGACCCTGCCACGGCATGGGCTGAGCCTTCTCTGCTGCTCCATGCTCCAGCAGCTGGAAACATCTGGCTGCACAAGCTTACTAAATCGATGTGGGGAGGAATCCAGCGCTCTCCTGCTGTTCCCACACTTCAGCCTCTCCCAGTGGCTCCGGTTTCGACTCAACTCTGGCATGCGGTGACTCGGTGAGCTCCGAGCCAGCCCCTGGCCCCTCGCTGCCCCTGGGGAACAGGGGCTGCAGGAGTCCCTGTGTCACCACCAGGACAGCACTGTGGGGGCAGATGGTGGCACTTCAGTGCTAGCAGCAGGATGTGTGCCAGAGGTGGGTGAGCAGCTCTTCCAGTCCCAATTTGGCCCTTTCCAGGGTGAGAGCTGCTGCTTTTCCTGGAGTCTAGAGTGACCTGGACTGTCACCCAAGAACTGGGGTGATCTCATCCAGGCATGGATGACGAATGGGGCAATGGATGAATCTGGGGATGTGGGTCGGTGTCATTGCCCTGGAACTCTTGTCCCTGAGCAGTGGGATGCTGCTTTTTGCCATTGGTGGCCCAGCAGCAGAGCAGTGCAGGGTGTCCCTGTGCTGGCCCCTCAGTCAGGGCAGCTGGGGACACAGGCAGGCTCGCCCCACTGCTCCTGGGACTGGGATGGCCAGAGCAGCCCTGCTGGCAGTGGCGCCCGGGGAGGAGGCAGCACCAGGCCCGCGCTGGCTCTGTGCCTGGGGAATGGCTGCGGGTGGCCCTGGGGGAGGCAGACGGGGCTTTGGGAGGGAGCCATGCCTGGGAGGAGCACGCTGCCGAGCTGGCAGGGTGGGAGCCACTGCCGGCGCCAGGGGACAACAGTGACTCTTCATCCCGTCCCACTCTGCCCTGGCCCAGCACGCAGGGATGTGGCACTGCCAGAGTGTGTGTGCCACCTTCTCTGGCTGCAGGGGCTGGGTGTGGGTGACAGCACCCGCTGAATGGGGCCAGGGTAAAGGAGCTGAAGGTGCCAAGTCCTTCCCTGCATGGAGACCCGCCTGGGGACACTGGGTTTTGTATTGCTGGTATTGCTGTTCCCTAAAGTTCAAGGAGCCCAAATCTCCCACTGCCCTACCCACTGCAGCGTGACAGCCAGGGACTGGCCACAGGTTCCTGCCCTGCCATTTCAAGCCTGAAAATCCATCTTTGCAGGCAACTTGGGGGCAGGACCTTGCAGCTTTGAGGTGCCAACGCAATGTTTTCTTCCCCCAGTAGACAGGCATGGTGTCCCCTTGTCCCTGGCTGCAGAGCAAGGTGGGTGCCACCCTTCATCACTGAGGGCCTCTTGAGACTCTCCTGCACCCTGGTTCCCTGTGTGCAGCCACCTCAGCTACATCCCTGTCCTGTACTGCCTGTGCATCCCCATCCTGTGGCTCTGGGGACCACTTGGAGTTTCTGTGCCTTTGATTAATTCCTCCACTGGTGCAATGGATGAAGCTGGGGATGGGGGTCAGTGCCATTGCAACATGCACTTGGAGCTTCTGTGCCTTTGATTAACTCCTCCAATCTCCACAATGGAGATTTAATAATGAGTTAATAATGACTGGTATCCTACTGAGCCAGGTTCTGGGTGCTGGACTGGGGTGATTGGACACATGCAGGGATGGGTGTCCTTACGCTCCAACGTGGCTGGCCACACTGGGTGCCCTGTGGGCTCACCAGCCCTTTTACCTCATCTACAACTGACTTTAACTTGCTTCATTGAACCCGTCTCATCGGGCTGTTCCTGCCTGTCACCCCCTTCATGCATAAATCAGGGTCGCTTCACTGGTCTGAGGTGCTCCTGCCCAGGCAGGTGGACAAGGGGAGCCTGGGGATGAGGTAGCACCCATGGGTGCTGCCTGAGGTGTGGCCAGAATGTGATGGGGACAGGAACACACAAGGAGCCCTGCTCGAGCACTGGCATGTGGCTATGCCTTGGTGGGGAGCTGCTGGGGTGTGTGCTGGCACTGTCCCCCATCCCCTGTCCCTGCACTGGGGTGTGTGCTGGCACTGTCCCCCATTCCCCTGTGCTTGCACTGGGGTGTGTGCTGGCACTGTCCCCCATCTCCCATCCTTGCACTGGGGTGTGTGCTGGCACTGTCCCCCATTCCCCTGTGCTTGCACTGGGGTGTGTGCTGGCAGTGTCCCCCATCCCCCTGTCCCTGCAGTTCACATGGTGCCAGTGCCGTTGCAAATCCTGAAGTGCTGGTTGCCACGTTACATTAGGAGGAGCCACATCCCATGTCCCTGACGCCTGCTGTCACTTCAGATCTGTGGCAGGCTGCAGCTGAAAGGCCTGAAATCACGGATCAAAGCCACAGTGGCACGGCTGTTAGTGCCTGGGGTGCACGTGAACAGGACAGGGACTTGGGGCTGGAGCCATGGCCCCGAGCCCACAGCACTGCTGGGGCTGTGCCAGGAGTGACCCCCTCCTCTGTGCAGGTGTCTGTGTTCTTATACATCTGTGCAGGTGTCTCTGGGCAGGGTGCACACCGTTGTGTGTGCAGGTGGATGTACATGCTTGTGGAGGTGCCTGTATATATCTGCACGTGTGCACAAGTGGTTGTGATGTGGGTAGATGCGTGTTCTCGTGTGCACTTTGGGGGGTGCATGGCTCTGTGTGTGTGTGTACACACCCATGCCAAGGGTGTGTACACCTAGAGAAGTCCCAGGGCAGACAGAGCTTGGGGATCCTAAGCTCTGGGCTGTGCCTGTGGGGGCTCAGTCCCACCAGCTGCTCCAGCCCTGCACAGAAGCAGCCACTCCTTCGTGAGTGGGGCTCAGTGTCCTCCAGCCCCCGACATCCCCTCGGTCCCACTGCCTGCACACCAAGTGATGCTGCTCCAGCACTCATGTTCCCAAGCTGGAGCACCCCTGGGGCCTGGGGGATGCAGGGGCAGGTTTGGGGACATTGTTCCAGGACTGCTGCTCCTGTCACCTGTGTGGGTCCTGTGGCCCCACCTGGTTTCTGCCAGCTCATCCTTTCTGGACTAGACATCACCATTCCAGCTGCATGCTTGGGAGTGGCATTTCAGGGTTGTGCAGCTGCAGCCTGGTGCCAGACTTGCCCTGTCCCTTCCTAATGGGCAGAGCCAGGGCTGTTGGTCATGGTCGTGGGCAGGGGGGTGCTCCATCCATCCATCCATCCATCCATCCATCCATCCATCCATCCATCCATCCATCCATCCCTTTAAAGCCTTCACCATGTCTCTCCACAGACCCCGAGTCCCAGAGGAAGAGGACAGTGCAGAATGTGCTGGACCTACGTCAGAACCTGGAGGAGACCATGTCCAGCCTAAGGGGCTCTCAGGTGTCTCACAGGTGAGGCCCCAGCACCAGACCCCCCCCCAGCCCCTTCCCCACAGTCAGTGTCCTTCCTGGGGCAGATGGGAAGCAGCTCTGCTGCTGGTGAGGGCCATGTGGGTGGGAGGGAATCAGTGGTGCTTTGTGACCTGGGGACCCTGTGCATGGAGGCTTGGAGAGAAGCCCCCAAACCCATGGGGTGTCCATGGTGCTGCAGCAGAGTCCTGTCCCCTAAAGTGCTCTGGGACAGTAAAGGCTGGGGAGTGCTGGCAGTGAGGGGAACTAACAGAGCAGAGAGAGGGGGTGAGGTCTGTTCCCAGTGGTCAGGTGACCCTGAATGGACCACCAGAGGTGAATATATCACCTGTACCCACCCCAGTTTGCACCAGAGGCTCCATCCCTATCTATGGCTTAGTTTTTCTCTGTAGGGTGATGATGGAGGAGCTCTCAGCCAGAGCCCAGGAGCAGAGGTGGGGGTGCCCTGGGGTACCCTGCCCAGACTGGAGCGAGGGAATGGTGGTGATGGGGACAGGGTGAGCACTGCATGGACAACCAGGGCACAGTGTCTGCGTTTAGGGGGCTCTGACACACGTCTGGGACTGTCTGTGGCCCCTGGGTCACTCACTTGAGATCTTGGACGGTTTCTGCTTCACTCTGGATTTGCAAGGTTGTGTGGGTGTTTGCCGGTTGGGAAAGTGGGGATGCAGGAACATCCTTCTCCTGGAGTATGTTGCCACCTCGTGGTCTCTCTCGATCCCGCTTTTTGTCTTGGAAGGGACAAAAAGCAGCAGCCTCCTCCCACCTTTCACCCACCATTCACCATTACAGACCTTCCCGTGTCAGCCCTCAAGCAGCCTTGTCCATGATGAAGCAGCCCTTTGACCTCCCCTTTCATCGCCTGAAATTTCTAGACCTTGGAGACCCAGCTCACCCTTGCTGTGCTTCCTGGATGTTTTCCAAGCCAGGAGCAGCAGAGAGCTGTGGCAGTGGGATTTGTATGGGGCCACAACAATATTTTCTGAGCTGGCCATTTCCTGAAATGATCCATTACATCTCTGCCATCCCTTTGCTCAGTGCAGGAGCTGGGTCAGAGCCCAGCACTGCTCATGCCAAGCCAGGGCTGCGTTGTGTTCATTTAGCTTTCATCAAATGACAAGTGTCAAACTCCACCCCCCTCCTCACTCCAGCACTCAGCTCCTTCAGAAATCCTTCTCAGCTCAGGTCTTAGGAAAATAGGGCGAGGACATTAAGGGTGATTAAATTAGCATTGCTGGTGGGATTTGAGTCTTCACTATCACTTCCTTTCCTTGATGAGCTGTGAGTATATCACATGGTGGATGCCTCAGCTGCATTCCTGCTGTGGAGAAAAATGGCTATGGATAGCCCAGGGATCCCTACCCCGCTCTCTGTCCCTTTCAGCAGGACTTAAACATGTGAAGATCTTCCCTCTTATCCCATGACAGCTGAATTTATTTGGAAGCTTTTTTTATTCCAGTAGCCCAGAGCAGCCTCGGCAGCTCCCTGCATCCCTCCAGGAGCTCCTCTGCGGCTGTGAGCCAGATTTTCCTTTCCCAAAGCTGTGTCAGCTCTTCCCTGGTACTTTGTAATTACACACATACCCACTCATTCTGCTCTTGGGAACACTTCCTACAAGTCTGCCCAATGCAGATGTCATCTGCAAGTCCTATGGATGTGCCTGCATTGCTGGTGTCCTGTAGCTGCTTTGGGCTCTCTCTTTATTCATTCCTCAAATTTCTCTTGTTACCCTCACTGTGTTCTTCCTTCCAGTGGCTGAGGGCTCAGTCTTTGCTGTTCCCTTGTTAGAGCACAGTGTTATTCCTGAAAGATGTCACCATACTTCTGGCAGCAGGGCTGCATGAATGTCCTTGGGGCTTAGAAAATCATGAAATCACAGAGTCACTGAGATACTCAGTGGACTTGGAAGACACTTGGAGAAACTCTCTAAGATCAAGTCCAACCATTTCCCCATGTTCACCATTACACCATGTTTCCAGGAGCCACATCCACATGTTTTTTAAACACTTCCAAGGATGGTGACTCCACCAGTGCCCTGGGCAGCCTGTGCCTGACCACCCTTTCAGGAAAGAAATTGTCTCCAATATCCAACCTAAACCTCCCCTGGCACAACTTGAGGCCATTTCCTCTTTTCCTGTCCCTGTTCCCAGGGAGCAGAGCCCAACTCCTCCCCAGCTCCTCCCTCCTGTCAGAGAGTTGTGGAGAGCCAGAAAGTCCCTCCTGAGCCTCCTTTTTTTCCAGGCTGAGCCCCCCAGCTCCCTCAGCTACTTCTGGTGCTCCAGACACTTCCCCAGCTCTATTGGCCTTCTCTGGACACGCTCCAGCCCCTCAATGTCTTTCTTGTCATGAGGGGCCCAGAACTGAACCCAGGATTCGAGGTGAAGCTTCTGTTCCTCCTGCTCAGACATGGTTGGCATCTGCTCTGAGCTGCTGGGAGCACATCCTCAAACAGCCTTTGTGCTGCTGACAAAAACAAAACCCTTTTAGCTGCCCCTTTTAGTTCCGCTTTAACAAACTTCCTCGTTTTTTTAAATGTAGTTCCCTGTTTTAGATTCAGTGCTGCAGCCTGGGTTTGGCTTTGGGTGCTCCTGCAGGAACCTTTAATCCAAGCTAGGGAATAATTTACTGATAGTAGTGTTTGGAGCCAATTTGAGGACTGTGGGTTCCCAAGGAGCTGCTCTAAGAAGTAATAGTTTCTCGTGGCCAAATTTAGTTTTAGAATCACTATTTGCCCAAAATACACCCTGAGAGGCACAGGGAGTGATGGAACTCCCCATTTCTGAAGTGCTTGTGGGCTCTGGGCTGGCTGCTGAGCACTGTCCTTGTGAGCAGCCCTCTCTTGGGGTCATCTTTCCTGCCCAGACGTTGGGGGTTCAGTCTGCAGGGGTTCAGTGTGAGGTGCTTCTGCAGGGACTGGTCCCAGGTCTGTCCCTCGGCATCCTTTCACTCACAGCCTCCACTCCCTGGCATGGCCCACTGTCACATTCCCTGGGATTGGTGCCACCACTCCAGCTTGTCCTGTCCTGGGTCTGGTGTGATCTTGAGGTGCAGATGTTGAAGTGCTGGAGGAGAAGTGGCTGAGCAGAAGCAGCCCAGACACAGGGGAGCATGTTCAGGCTTTCCACTAAAGGTGCCCTATTAGATCCACTAAAGGTGCCCTATTAGATGAGTTCAGCAGAGCTGGATTTTGGGGCTGGAGCCAGTCTCCAGAATGGTGCTGATCCCTTTCCCAGATGTGTTTGCCACCAGTCCCTGCTCTGAGGTGGGTGGACAGGGCTGTGGTAGAGTGTTGCTTTTGTAGATTGACTTGAGCACAGAGTCCCCATCACATCCTATGTCCTATTCCGCCGTCCCTGGGGAGACATAGCATCACTGAACACCATGGTGTGCATGTCCCAGCAAGTCCTGGACTGTGGGACACTGGGGTGGCACTGGGCAAGGAAGGAGGGGACTGTCCCTTGCCACCTGAGATGGAGATGGTCCACGACAGACAGCGTCCCTGCAACCACAGTCCCGGGAGCCTCTGGCCTTGCCTGGCTGCCTCAAAATGGGCAGTTTTGGTATCTGAGCACTTGCAGACCAAGTTCTGGGGGTTGAGGCAGGGCACAGATCTCCCCTGCCCCCTGTGCCCTGCCCTAACTCCCTGACTGCCTGTCCTTGCAGCTCCCTGGAGATGACCTGCTATGACAGCGATGAAGCCAACCCACGGAGCGTCTCCAGCCTCTCCAACCGCTCGTCCCCTCTGTCCTGGCGCTACGGGCAGTCCAGCCCGCGGCTGCAGGCCGGGGACGCACCCTCGGTGGGGGGCACGTGCCGCTCCGAGGGCACCCCGAGCTGGTACATGCACGGCGAGCGCGCGCACTACTCGCACACCATGCCCATGCGCAGCCCCAGCAAGCTGAGCCACATCTCCCGCCTGGAGCTGGTCGAGGCGCTGGACAGCGACGACGTGGAGCTCAAGTCGGGGTACATGAGTGACAGTGACCTGATGGGCAAGACGCTGACGGAGGATGATGACATCACCACGGGGTACGTGCCTGTGACAGGAGTCCTGCTCAGACTGGGGCTCTCCAGGAGTTTCACCTGCTCCTGTTCACCTGGCACAGTGGGGGTGGATGGAGTGGAACAGGGGTTACAGCCAGTCTGGTTAGGATTGGATCGTGTCCCCACATCCCAGGAGATGCTTCCCTGCTAGCAGTGCTGGTGGTGCTGGGCCAGCTGGGTCTTCTTGGGGCTCCTGAGCCAGAATGAGCTGCTCTCCCAGCATGTGGGAAGTGCCCAGCTTGATCTGGGTGTTCCTGGAGCAGGGAGCTGAGAAAAGTGCATGGTCTGTAACTGCAGAAGCCCTGAGCCACAGTCCTGCTGCTTTCAGAAGTGCTCTGCAGTTTACACCAGTCAGTCTGAGTGGCTTCCTGTGACCCAGGCACTGTGGGGGTGTCCTGTGGGACTCCTGGTGGTCCATGGTGGGAGAGGCTGGGTCAGATCTCAGCACCCCAGTGAGAATTGGGCACTGAGGTGTCATTGCTGATGGATGACTCTAAATGGACCAAGGTGTGCTGCTGAGCAGAGTCCCTCCTTCTGGGAACCCCCATCAGCCTCCATCCCTCCACCCATGGGCCCAGGGGCATCTCCTGCCAGATGGGCACAACCCAGCACTCCCAGGTCTCACGTTTTCTTGCCAGATGTGTCCAGCTCCTGCTGCACTGTTGAGGTGCCCCTGGCTCTGGCAAGAGTCCAGGGTTTGAACATGTTGGAGGTTTCCTGTTTCAGCACAGCAGAAAATAAATAACGTGGGCGTTTGAGCTGTCCCAGAGCCCGATGAGGTATTTGGGCTCCTGACAGTGCTGCTTTGGCCCTCCTAGGGTGGCTGTAGTCACATCAGTTTGCTGCAGGATAGAGCAGAGCCTGTGGCTTCTCACCCATCTTGGGGCCAGTGCGCCCTAGATATGGCCTGTAGGTGCTTGTTGCAGTTGCAGGGGACACAGCTTTGGCTATCTGCTGGCTTCTGCCCCTGCCACGCTCCAGCTGTGGGCTGAGAGTGTCTGTGGCACCGTGGGTGTCAGACCCATCCTCCCCATGGGCATTGGCTTTGGGGGCTGCCCTGTGCTTGTGAATGAGGGAGCTTTGTGCTGGTTCAGCACAGACCCTCCTATAGATCTTAACCTATTGCTTGGCAGCCAGAGGTTCCACGTCACCACTTGCTGCCACTGGGCACTGGACTGCGAGGTGTGACTGGCAGTGGGGTGGATTTGGGCTGCCCTGGATGGCTGAGGCTGCACCAGGGCTGGCTGTGGGGATGAAGGGTACACTGCTCCCCATCTCCCTCCTTGTCTCATCTTGGTGCTGCTCATGCAGGCAGATAACCTTGGGGTGCCCTTGGCTTCAGAGGCAGTAGAGCAACACTTTGTATTCGTGAATCACAGAGCAGGGGGAGTGTGGGCAGGGTCAAAGACCCAGGACAGCTCAGCCCTGCACTCCTATGGGCAGGATTTACTTCTCCTTCAGGAAGGTACAAGCTTTGGGGATGGATCCCTGCATGGCTAAGCCTCTGTGAGGCCCTGGCAGCACCACAATCCCCTGGTGTGGGTGAGGCTGTCAGTGCTGCGGTGAGCTGGGCCATGGGCAGGTGCCACAGTCCTGTTCCTGTGCAGAGTCCCCAGCATGGGGACTCCTGGATGTGCCTGGAGTTCTCTGCCATGCCAGAGACAGACTGGGTGTTCTGCACTGGGTACCCTCCCCAAGGAAGGGTGCAGGAGTGAGCCAGGGCAGCACAGGACCCTCTTATCTGCAGGGGCATCTCCTGGGGATCAGCCATTTCACTGGGGTTGTTGCAGGCACAGAGCCATGTAGTGACCTACACAGCTTCACAGCTTCATCCCCCACAGCCCCACAGCAGGACTTGGGGGGGTCTCCCAGAGTGGGCAGCATGGCAGGGTCTCTGTCCCAGAGCATGCCTTTGGCTGGGTGCTGGGGTACACTGAGGTGCCCTCTCCAGGAGCCTGCACACTCTGGGTTCAGAGCCCGGGAAGCAGAGCAGGAGCATTCCCTCCTGCCAAGAGCCAGATAGGACAAGGAGCTGGCCAGGAGCACTCATCCAGCACAGCCCCTCATCCAGACCCCACTCAGCCAGCACATCCCTTCACCCAGTGCAGCCCCTCATCCAGCCTCCATCATCCAGCACAGCCTCTTATCCAGCACAGCCCCTCACACAGCACAGCCCCTCACTCAGCACAGCCCCTCACCCAGCACAGCCCCTCATGCACAGCCCCTCACCCAGTGCAGCCCCTCACCCATCACAGCCCCTCACCCAAACCCCTCACACAGCACAGCCCCTCACACAGCACAGCTCTTCATGCACAGCCCCTCACACAGCACAGCCCCTCACCCAGCACAGCCCCTCATGCACAGCCCCTCACACAGCACAGCCCCTCACCCAGCACAGCCCTTCATGCACAGCCCCTCACTCAGCACAACCCCTCATCCAGCACAGCTCCCCTCACCCAGCACAGCCCCTCACTCAGCACAGCCCCTCACCCAGCACAGCCCCTCACCCAGCACAGCCCCTCACTCAGCACAGCCCCTCACTCAGCACAGCCCCTCATGCACAGCCCCTCACCCAGCACAGCCCCTCACTCAGCACAGCCCCTCACTCAGCACAGCCCCTCACCCAGCACTGCCCCTCACCCAGCACAGCCCCTCACTCAGCACAGCCCCTCACCCAAACCCCTCACCCAGCACAGCCCCTCATGCACAGCCCCTCACTCAGCACAGCCCCTCACCCAGCACAGCCCCTCACTCAGAACAGCCCCTCACCCAAACCCCTCACCCAGCACTGCCCCCCTCACCCAGCACTGCCCCCCTCACCCAGCACAGCCCCTCACCCAGCACAGCCCCTCACTCAGAACAGCCCCTCACCCAAACCCCTCACCATGCACAGCCCCTCATGCACAGCCCCTCACTCAGCACAGCCCCTCACCCAGCACAGCCCCTCATGCACAGCCCCTCACCCAGCACAGCCCCTCACCCAGCACAGCCCCTCACCATGCACAGCCCCTCATGCACAGCCCCTCACCCAGCACAGCCTCCTCGCTGGCTCTGACCTAGAAAGCGGCACCGCCGCAGGCCCCATCTCGCGGTGCTGCTAATGCACCGGGCAGGAGCGGCTGCTGCAGATGGGGCCGGCAGCCCCAGCCCGGGCCTCGGGGCAGCGTCCCCCGCACCGCGCCGGCGCACGGCCCGGCTTGTAGGGCAGTAGGTCAGAGACGGCTCAGAGGACGTGGTGACACATCCCTGTCCCTGTCCCTGTCCCTGTCCCTGTCCCTGTGGGACACACAGATGTGTGGGATGTGCCCCGGCATGCCCGTGGCTCGGCGGGGAAGCAGGCTGGAAGGAGCGAGGGCTGAGGTAGGTGAGACACGACTGGGGCAAGGGGATTGCCTGCAAGGTATCGCGGTGGATTCAGCTGGGTGGAGGTTGGGGTGAGCCCAGCCAAGGAGGCTGTGGGGGACTTTAGGCCCAGCTCAGAGAGGGAGTGGGATGGTCAAGTCTGAGCAGGGATTGGCTGGGGACACCCGAGACACCAGCAGCATTGCTGTGCTAGCCAAATGTACCAGCATCCTGGCTCCCTGCCCAGCTGTGCCTGCATCCATCGGCATAACACTTGCCACTCCTCTCTACCTGCTGCTGGTTTCAGGATTTAGAAAGCTCTTGCTTTGGCCCCCTGCGTGGCAGCACATATCTTTTGTTCCCAATATCACTATATCCTCCTTGTGCACTGCATCAGGGCAGGGACCTGGCACAGGGAGCACCCACCAGGATGCTCCCTGTGAAGGGAGTATGTGACTGAAGGGATGGAAGGGGTGCTGTTGCTCTCCTGCCCTGTCCTGCCTGTCCTTGGGGCCCTAGGCAGGGCATGTGCAGAGATAGCACCCAGTCTTGGGCTGTTTCTGTAACAGTGAAACATATTTACTCCCTTCCTTGGTCAGCTCTGGTTCCTATGCCACTATTCAGTGGCCACTGTTCCCTGCCCTGAGGCCAGTTCCAGGAAGGGTGTGGTGCCACCTGTAATGCTTTCCCACTCATCCAGGCTGGGGTTGTTTCCTGAACATTGGAGGTCACCCCACCAAGGTCTCTCCACTGGGAACTTCCCCAGGGACATCTCTGTCTGCACAGCCACAGCATGGGTGCCTTTGTGTGCAGACCTGCATGTGAACCAGGCAGTGGTGAGGAGAATGGAGCAGGCCTGATGTGGTGTGTCCTGAGTAGTGGCTCAGCACCGTCCCTGGGTGTTTCCTAGGGCCAGTTGGGTCACAGTGGGAGTGAGTGGGATGCTGCAGTGCAGTCAGGAGCTCATGGGGTACAGAAGCAGCTAGCGGGGCTGGCTGCTGAGTCAGCACCTTCTGCTGCGGTGGCTGCAGGAGCAGTGATGATGGTCTGTGTGTGCTGCAGTGCTGTGGTGTGGAGGTGTAGCTCTGCAGCCAGTCCCCGGGGCTCTGCATGTCCCTTGGGGCTTCCAGAGCACTGAGGGAATGTTTGTGTGACCCTGGGACTGCTGTGATTTCAGGATGTCCTTTTGCATCTCGTTTGTTGGAGGCAGAAAGGGAGGCAGCATTGCATCCCACCGCAGCAGTGGCAGCATCTGCACCCTCATGAGCTGGGTACTGCCCTGACTCTGCTTGTGGGCATGAAATGGAGCTGAGGCAGCAGCTTTTGGAATTGGGAGTGCAGGGCATGCTGCTAGCCCACAGCACACCCCGGGCACCATCCCAAGTCACTGTGATGGTGCTGCTGGCAGCCAAGCACTGCAGAGCCTGTGGTCCCCTCCAGCAGGGCTGGGGGCTGCCAGCAGCATCCTCCCGGGAGGGACGCTCTGGAGCTGACACCCGCTGCGCTCTGGCTGGCCTGGCTCCGGCTTCCTCGCAGCTCCTCGGGCTCGGCACAGCCTGTAGGCGGGAGCAGATGTTTGGCTCAGCTCCCCAGGAGCAGCAGGGGAGTGGCCGCCCTCCTCCTGCCCCGAGCAGGACTGGTGC